TAAGTTCAGACCGTTAACGCTTCCAAACGTCTTAGTTTCTTCAAACTTGTACCAACTTGGCTTATTTTAAAACGGGTCTAGCCCAGGTCTGCCCTTTTGTAACTATAAGCTATTTTCAATGTTGAACTTGTGATTGCTTAGATCCAGTGCTTTAAGATTTTAAAACTTCTTCAAGGTCTTTAAACTCGTCTTTTTACTTGATTTATTCGACTGATTCACAACCCTTTTCTCCAAAACTCGTCTGTAGTTTTAAAATTTTTACAGACTTCCGTCTGAAGCTCGCATTTTCTTTTCTAAAACCTTTCTGCAACTCCAAGTATTTTAAACAGGCTCTTGTCTGCAACTGGCATCTTTTCTCTAAAGTCTTACTGATTTTCTAAAGTCTGTCAACTTCTAAAAAGGGCNTTTCTAAAACCTGTCTGCAACTCCAAGTATTTTAAACAGGCTCTTGTCTGCAACTGGCATCTTTTCTCTAAAGTCTTACTGATTTTCTAAAGTCTGTCAACTTCTAAAAAGGGCCCGGGGAGTTCGAAGCAGATTTTCTATCCAACTCTTATGTGTTAAACTAATCTGCCCGCTCTCCTAACCTCTTTTAAAAACCAAATCAGTAATTGAAGTCATGCTAAGCTACTTGTTGTATGTTATGGGGTTTACTTGAGCCTTTAATTGTTTATTTGCATCCCTCTTATTTGCTACTTGTTTTTCACTGTCGCTCTAGCATTTTAACCTTTGAACACTCCATATATGTATCCTACTTCCTTCTCCCCTTTTCTTAGGATTAGAAGTCCTAATACCCCGGGACTAACAGGTTGGGGCAGGTATTAGCATGCAATAAGTAAACAATACCAACGCGCCTTAATACCTTAATGGGGTGGGAGGGTAGAATATGGAGATGATGACAATCGGTACGCTAATACCATATGCGACCCCTCTTCGAGGAGTGTGTGCGGGGTATTGTACCAATGTGATCCATATTATAGTTAAACCTAGGACCCTTCTTTCTCTTCTATGTGTTTATTGCTTTCTTAATGCTTTTTCAAACTAATCCTCTTTTATTTCAAACTTATGCCCTTCCTTTCCTTTAAAGCTTTCAAATTATGTGAATGTTATACATGTGCATCTTATTTGTCTACTCGCTTCATCTTCTTCTAGAGTCACAATTAGCACGGCCGGGAACCACATTTATGGATCTTGAGGGGTGCCTAACACCTTCCCCTCGAGATAATCTCAAGCCATTACCCAACTCTGGTTTTTCTCTCAAAATACTCTCTTCATCTTAAAGTGTCCTAATTCACTATAATCATTAGGTGGCGACTCTTCTAATTCCATAACCCAACTCCCAAACGGGAATGAGAGTTATTTTGCCCATAATGTCATAAACCCGATTTCGCTTTTGAAAAAGGGCGCGTCGACAGAATGGCGACTCTGCTGGGGATTTTCTTTAAGGCTTTTACCATTACGTGCTTCTGTGACTTTATTGCTTTCTTTACTATCTTTATTTATTGCTTTAATCGTTTCTTCCCATTACTAACTTCTTTCTTCATGTCTTTTCTTTTCTTTAACTGTTTTACCGCTTTATTGTCTTTACATTATTTCAATTCCGTCTTTAATTTCGAGCATTTATTGTAATCATTATTGTATGAACGTGGAAATACATGTACTTCTTTTCTTATTGTATTTGCATCCTCCAACATCATCTTCCACTCATGCCAAACAAATCCCATAGCAACGCTTATAATGAGTGCTTGTGCTCTTCCATATTATAAACCCCCTAAATTTGGCAAAGGCGTATTTGCGGTAAAACCAGTCGATCAACGGTGTAGTCGACGGTTCCGTGCCTTTCCCTCTTGAGTTGTCCGCTCAAGGGTACCTTGTCTAGCACTTCAAAAGTAGAAACCCTACTCTGTTAAACTATTCATGCATCATTTAGTCAAACTTAGCCGAGTCAGTTATGTCGTCTGCATAATGACTCATTAAGATAGCCTAAACCAAACGTCCCTCGGGTTTCCTTGAAACCCAAACGGACACCTTCACGTTATGTGCATTTATTTGGAGAACTAAATACCATTACTGCTAATTGTTGATTTAAATAGTCGAGTCTGGTGAGGTTAGGGCCTAACACTCTTTTTTGCAGAAAATGAGGCACGAGGTCCCCAGATTCGGTATGTTGTCAAACATTCATCCCAAGTTACTAAGCTGGTGGGAGGATTTGCATGGTAGTGACTGGGTTGTGGTTCGCAAGCACTTAGGAAATCTTCCCTCACTCCTAGAGGTTAGGTCAGATAATAAGATTGTGGAAGCTGCTACCTTGTTTTGGGATAGTGAATGGTCGATCTTCCGTTTCGGGGATATTGAAATGACTACGCTGCTAGAAGAAATTGGGGGTTTAGTCGGGATTCCCTGGGATAGTCCAGGATTGCTTATGCCAGAGAACTGCAAGGGTAGAGGGTTCCTCAAAATGATGGGTCTCAAGAAAGAATCTCAATTTGACCAGTCTGAAGGACTCCTACATATCCTTCGACTTCATGTATGAAAGATTCAGACATAGAAAATCTTACCACAATCATATGGATGAATTCGCCCTTACCTCTTTGGGGCACATACATAGGAGAGCTTTTGTATTCATGTTCTGCTTACTGGTCATGATAGTATTTCCAATGAAGAAGGCTAGGATCCACACAAGACTAGCCATGGTAACCAAAGCTGTAATTGAGGGTATTGATGGGAAAACATTCAGCATAGCGCCCATGATCCTCGCCGATCTGTACCGAGCCTTAGAACATTGTCAACGAGGATCACCACACTTTGAAGGATGAAATTTGTTACTACAACTCTGCCTCATTGAACACCTTCAGAAGGGAAATTATAGACAGGATATCATACGCCGAGACTGGGATGATCATATTGCCTTCCATCATCCAAAGAGAATGCGCTTCATGCCAGATATGTTCGCTTACCCTGAAGATGCCAGCGGGTGGGTAGAGCTATTGGAGAATCTGAAAGAGGAGCAGGTGCAATGGATGTACGAGTGGTTTCCAACTGGAGATTTCATCATTCGGTCTAGGGATGCACCATTCCTTGTGCTCATCGGCTTGAGAGGAACTTACCCTTATGTCCCTCTTTGAGTCATGAGGCAAGCGGGAAGAAATCAAATTATACCAAGGGTGGAAAAGATGAGTCACTACAGGGCCGATTTCCAGGACGATGATAGCCCACACAGGTGTCAGGCTCAGCATATGTGGCACTCTAAGCTCATCTTGGAGAAGGAGTCTATGGAACCAGACAGGTATCAGGCTGGGTGCGCACCACTTTATCCGGGATGGTTAGAATACGATCATATTGGCCTAGGAAAGCCGGGTTTCATCCATGGTCACCGACTCATTGATGAAAAGACTGTTGCAAAGGTCAAGTACAACCAGCTACGCAAGCGGATGAGGGAATGTGAAAGTGAGCATCGGGAAATACAAGAGGCCCAAGAAAAGCTGATCAATGAATGGAAGGACATGGCTGTCCACGCAAACAAACGTCTAGGGTACTTGGAGCGAGGTCTAGTGGAGCTAGAAGGCAAGTTTCTGAAAAGGATCAACGACTGCCAAGAAGCTGAAGGTAACGAAGGAGGGCACTTGGCTCGGGCTTACCTGATGCTGGGAGGGAGGCAAAGATACCGAATCTGGGGAAGGTCCCTCTGGGAACAAGTAGTTAAGATTTTACTGCTTTCTTGGTGTAATAAGGCCATTGGCCATTAGTGACAATATCTTTTATTTCAGTCGTTTTTAACTCGTTCTATTTTCTATCAATAAAATGAGGCGCTTGGTGTTATAAGTTCTCCAAATTCGATCTGTCTCTAGGACTACATCAGGCACAACGAGGCACCCCAATAGGAAACGATTTATATTCCTGCAACTATATGTTTAAATACTGCAATATTTCCTTTTCTCAGAATCCGCACTAACTTCTTACCTTTTGTTCCCC